CCAGTTTAGGCCCGATCCCCAGGACATCAATTGGACCTCACATTCAGGACTACTGGCTCCTAACTGCTCATCTGCCTGCCTGCCTGATTGCCCTAACTGGCCCCCCTGCCAGCCTGATCACCCCCTAACAGGCTCCGCCTGCCAACCTGATTCTCTCCTACTGCCCCCCCTGCTGGCCTGGTCTCCCCCAACTGCCCCCTGCCACCCTGGTTGCCCCCAACTCCCTCCCCCACCCCCGCTGGCCTGGTAGCCCTCAACAGCCCCCTCTGCCAGCCTGGTCACCCCTTACTGCTCCCCTTGCTGGCCTGGTTGCCCCAACTGCCCCCCTCTGTTGGCCTGGTCACCCCTCATTGCCCCCCCCCCGACAGCCCAGTTGCCCCCAACTGCCCCTTGCCAGACTTGTCACCCCCAACTGCTTCCCCCGCTGGCCTGGTCACCCCCAACTGCCCCGCCTGCCAGCCTGGTTACCCCTCACTGCCCCCCTCTGCTGGCCGGGTCACCCCCAACTGCCCCCCTCCTCGCCGACCTGGTCACCCCTCACTGCCACCCTCTGGCAGCCTGGTCATCCCTCACTAACCCCTCTGCCGGCCTGGTCGCCCCACACAGCCTGCTTGTTCAGTCATTTGGTCGTCCCTCACTAACCCCCCTGCCGGCCTTGTCACCCCACTCAGCCTGTTCAGTTCAGTCATTTGGTCGTCCCTCACTAACCCCCCTGCCGGCCTTGTCACCCCACTCAGCCTGTTCAGTCATCCATTCGGTTGTTTTGGATATGATGGCCCCTGGCTCTTTATATATATAGGTTACCCTGCCAGGTTCTGGTGAAGAACCAATTGCTGCTGCCACCAGATGTAAGCCCACATTACTTGTTACTTCCCTGAGTATATTACTTCTAAGTCTTCTGTCACCTCAGCCTCAGAAAAAGAATGACTCTCTCAACTGGACCAGATTCTACTTGGCTCCTGTTTCATATCCCTTTCTTCCATACTAAGTCTCAGGCTGGTGTGTCTGATTGGGGGAGACACATATCTACAGTGTGGCTGCAAAGGATGTTGTAAGAGGGAGTTCTTGGCTTATACTTTGGGGAGATGGACTTCATGAGATGGGAAATTTTCCAGACAGGGAAAGACACTGGACCGTCAAAATGGAATGGCAAATGCCCACCAAAGAGAGCAAGATGAATTAGCTATATCAGAGACCCAGTGAGTAACTAATGTCGGGCACGCTACACCACCTTCTCTGATAATCTGGCCATGCCTCTTAGTAGTATTTTGACTGTGAGACCTTAAAAGAAGTGGAAATTCACAGCAAAAGAGATCTCTCCCATCTGTTCTCTGCTTACCTTATCATATTGGTATGCACTATGGAAATTGTTGCTAAACTTTTATCTGATGTAAAAGAATGCCTAACACATTTCTCCTTCATATCTTGGTAAGGAAGGGAGTCTGTGCAAATGCCAGGCTGGGTCATGGGGGAGAGGTGTCTCATGGAAAAGGTTTCTCATGAAACATCAAGTTCATCAAGTTCAATTAAGGATTCCCTCACTAGGTTTTGAGAACAACATCATTAGAGTACGGACGTTCATATCATTGCAGTTAAATTTCTTAGATGTTTTTATTTTAACTTTTCTTATTTAGAGCCTAAATTTTACTGGCAGAAAATATTATCTTCATTCTGAATTTTGTTAATTGTAAAATATTTGATGATTATACACAGCTTAACAATAATTTATTCACAAAGCTAAGTTGAAAAACCCCGGTTAATGTGGGTAGTAAAATTCTACCCCTTTACTTTTAAAATGACCTGAAAATCCTTCTTCCTAGAGGCATATACATTTCCTAAAACATTGGGATTTAAGGGGAGGATGAAAACATTGTTGGTCAATACATCCAAGTACTCAAAACCTAAACTTATGTAAGATGTGTGAGAAAATAAATAATCCTGTCACAAAGTACTAATCTATTCAGAACATTGTCTTTACAAATGGGAAAAGCATTTGCATTATTATATGCTCCACTAAACCAAAATTTTATTTAGCACAAACAGTATTTTTTCGTTGTTTTCTTTATCAAAGGGATCAAAATTCTTTCCTTCAGTAAGATCACCTTATCATATTTTTTATAATGTTTTATTTTATAGTTCTTATTATGTTCAACCTCCTTGTTTTATTTTGTTCTCACAACAATCCTGTGAAGTAGGTAAAAAGTAGTTGAATTAATTTTAAAACATTGGTTAATTCCTTCACCCTGTAATTTTCCTGCTTTATACATTTGTCTTATGTTGCTGTTGTTTTTTAATGTGGTAATATACCTATAACATAAAATTGACTATTTTGACCATTTGTAAGTGTGCAATTCAGTAGTATGAAGCATGTTCACATTTTTGTGCAACTAATCTCCATACTGTTTGCATCTTGCAAAACTAAAACACTCTATTTATTAAATAATAACTCCTCATTTCCCTCTTTCCTCATTTTTTTAAAGAAATCAAGTCTTTTCTTAATAAATTGAAATGCTCTGAACTGAATTAAAATAAGAGCTGGCCTTTTCAGAGTTTCGGGTAAGCCATTATTTATAGTTATTTATGAAGCTATCAAATGTCATGCAGTCGTTTCTCTTTCACCTCCACGCCAAAGATCTTTTTATAGGTTAAAATCTGGGTCAACAACTCCTTTCCAATACATTTTTCCTTTATTTTATCAGTGATGCTATAGAAATGGAAAAGTAGTTAAAACTTTTGTGAAAGACTGACCATTGGGAACATGTTTTTTTTCCTAGAAAAGTAGTATCTTGGAAGCTTGTTAAAGTAACTTGATATTGAATACAGGTCCATCCTGAACTTGGTCTACAGCCGTGGTCGGCAAACTGCGGCTCGCGAGCCACATGCGGCTCTTTGGCCCCTTGAGTGTGGCTCTTCCTAAGCCTTAGGAGTACCCTAATTAAGTTAATAACAATGTACCTACCTATATAGTTTAAGTTTAAAAAATTTGGCTCTCAAAAGAAATTTCAAT